ACAAATATAATACATGATATATAGATTGCTTCTAGAAACTAAAATTAACCAGAATTCTAATATAAGAAGCGAATTTAACTTTGCATGTGTAAAGATTTATGTGTTACAGCGCACCATATTCATTTACTAACAAATATATGGAGGATTAAATTCAGATCATGGATGCATAGCACCATGAGCAATCAACCTTATAATTTCCTTTCCGCAGATAGACTGCTCATGATGTTATCTCATCGTTTTATTATATGTATTTAAGCTTGGATTTGGCCATTGATCGTTGATCAGGGAACCGGGTGCCGGTCATCTTGTGCAGCTGTCCTCAGTCCACCAAATGATCGTTTGCCCGGCCGGCAATTCGTTCATCGAAAACCGCTGCCGCCAAGTGCCGGAGCCCAATAATTAGCTCCATTGTCACTCCCAACTTGCAGGGTGCAAGATATTGGAACCAAACACAACCCTCTACTCTTCAAGTCCTTCTTTGGCTCCTCTTCGCCCTCCTATCGTTTCATGAACAAAAAAAATTAGTTAAGAATGACATAAAACATCTTACATGGTAGTAGTATGACTAGTAGCATTCCTTACATGGTGTTGCTGCCTAGTGTTTCCAAATTCAATGCTGCCAAAGTAGGGTAAAGTGAGGGCCTGCATTCATAGAGAGGGCTGTTGAGAATAATGTATTGAGATATGCTCAAGTTCCCTTGTCCCATATGGATGGATAGAGAGTCTTGTAACCAACATATAACCACATATGCTACTTCACTTATCACCAATTGGTTTTAAGGTGAAATCAGATGTGTACCTATATTTGGACCTTTAAGATGGTATTAGAGCGTGTTTTATCCGCGGACCTGTATGACTTATGGGATGGGCTTTGATTGGCCCGGCAGTATATCCGGGGTCTGATTTCCTTACCCGTTTGGGCTTTCTTCTACTTCTACTTATCCAAATATGGGTTTTTTTATTTCTATTTCTTCTACTTACCCAGTTATATCTGGGCTTTTACTAATCCGGCAGTTTATCCGGTTTGTCCAACTCCTTCGGGTTGAGAGGAGGGTGTTGAGAATAATGTATTGAGACATGCCCAAGTTTCCTTATCCCACATGGATGGATAGAGAATCTTGTAACCAACATATAACCACATGTGCTACTTTCTTTATCACCAATTGGTTTTAAGGTGGAACTACATGTAGGCATATATTTGGGCCTTCAAGAAGGACAAGAAACATAGCGCCTAAAACAGTGTTAAGGTTAAAAATGTACAAGAAATATGAGACTAAAAAATTAAACGAAAAAAATTTCCTAAGATGGCAATTCGATCTGTAAAGAAAATTTTTTAAAAAAATACTCGTGCAAGATGGCAAGAGCGAGTTTAATAAAGTTATGAACTTGGAGATGTAAGTTATGATAGTGATCAATATATAATAGATTATTCAAAAGAATAGGGGAAAGATTAGTATTCCCTGCGCCATAACAATTTGCGAGTTATATACTTTGTTTTTGGTTCAATTCACAAATGACAATGTGAATTATATTAGTTTGCGACAGAACATGCCAATTCATCCTAAACATTTTTAAACTGGTTAATTACGTCTGCAAAATGTATTCGTCCATATTGGAAACATCACCTCAATTTGACTTCGGAGGAACCTTTTGTATCCAATAGCTTCTGACAAGACATGAACAAAAGCAAATGAAATTGAAATGAGGAAATCAAGCTAGCTAGTTCGTCCTTTGATATTCGCTTCGTTAACTGATCACAGAAATTACCTTCCCAAAAGGGGAGACTAATTGATGAAGGGCTGTTATTCTGTCCCCTAGATTTTTCTTCCGCACCTGCATTTGTGTAGCCCCCAACAAAAGAAGATCAACAGAGAAATGCACAACTTGGTTGGAAGTATTAATTATATTCACTCAACTACTCTACCCTTTCTTTGATCAGCTTCTTCAAAAAGCTTGTCAGATCAATAAGGTTGATTTCATAAAGCTTTGAAATGGTAAAAATCTAAAACCATTGTTGAAACGGAAGGTCCATAATTTGCAAAATCGCGATTCTACCAATATATATGTTTCTAGTAGTAGACCAAACCGGTTCTGAACCGAAATGAATCGTGTTCATTAGTAGACTTGGTAGCAAGATCGGTGGATAACTTGTGAAAAAATCTGTTGAACATTGGAAAAAAAAAAAAAAAAAACCTTTTTGGGGTCACGGAATATGAAGAATCGAAACCATGATAAGTTTCACTTTACTTAAAAATTGAGTAGTAGGGATCAACACGGCTTTTCTGGTGCTTCACCTCCGCTGCCGGCGCAGTACCGCGGATGTTCGTTCCCTTCTCCTCCTCCTCTGGAGCCTTCCTGATCAGGATCGCCGCCTCTTCTTCCGCCATGTCCGGCTTCTCTGTTTGCCTCTTGCTCAGCTGATACAATATCTTCTTCTTCCTCTTCTTCTAAGGTTGAGGCTTAAGAAATGGAGGTTGAATCCGAGTCATTGTGCTTAGCCATATTGAGGTCTTTCTTATCTTTTTTTAATAAATATAATAAATAAATAAAATCAGTTGTTATAATGTTTGTTGGAGTTTTATTACTCATGTCAAGGCTTATGTCATTAGGATTCAGTTTTTTGCTTTGATAATAACCATTTTCATTTATCCTAACACAATTTCCTCTCTTTCCTTTGATGAATCTTCTATGAGCGGGAATGAATTGATTGCCAAAACCTCCCTCTTCATTTTATCAACCAACACTTTTTCTGTTATAAAGTAATTGTTTGGTTTAGATTTTTTTAGCTTATATTATACTAAAGTTAAACAATATAACTGGACAATTATTTTGGGACAATGAGAGTATTATAATTTTAGTATTTTAGTCATTCTCCAAAAAAAAAAGTCAAAATAGATTACTATAGTTTTAGTAGTTTAATAGCAAACATGCATGATCTTTATCGCAAAATTTTTTTTCTAAACGTATTATTATAATGTAATGATTTCGGGATAGAAAAGAAAATACTAAAAAGTATAAAACTTGTATTATATACTTGGACTATTCGTCAAAACACAACTAAAGCAATTACTTTTTTTTAATAGACCACTTGATTATATATCACAATTTAAAAAACTTATACATAACATAGCTCACTCAGATTGGAGAAATGCCCTTGCTAGTCTATGGCAGTTCTCAACTGTCACTCTTTATACTTTCACAAACTGACAACATCGAAAACTATTAGCTATTTCTATAAAATTATCAGCTAGGAATTGGAGTTCAAACGGAAACCTGGAGCCCTTATCTTTCAAACTTGCTACTAACACGCCATCAGTTTGCAAAATGCACCGTTGAAGACCCTTATCCTTAGTTGCCTGGAGACCGAAAAGGCTTGCTGTAACTTCTGCACCAAGTCAGCTGTGATGAAGGTTTGAAGTTCCTGCATTGCCCATTGATTTATGTCATTGGAGACAGATATTAAAACAAGTACTTAATTTAATATGGAGGGATCTTCTAGTGTAAAGTAATTCTCAGTCACTCAAAATTAAGAAAATATTCATAAAAAAATTAACAAAATACAGTAATACTTATTATTCCCTCTGTCTTAGAAAAGGTCCACATTGAGTTTTAATTATATTAAAAATAATATAAATGAAATTCGAAACTTAATGTGAATTTTTTTGGGGGGACAAAGGTAATACTTATGAGGACTGGTTTTCCTTTCCTTTCCTTCTTTTTTTTTTTTTTTTTTGCTAGCCACGATGCTTGAATACATGTGAGGACTAAAATATGACAATAAACAGTAAATAAATACCACTTCCATTTACATTTATCTATCACTTTAAAATTTGCACAACTACTAAAGAAACAATAATTGAGACTTTAATTTTTAAGTGTATTGAAACTCTACAAAAATTTAAAATTGGAATAAAAAAAAAACTTAGTTGTCACTAATATATGTATTAAAGTAGAAAGAAATAAAGATGAAATTGTAGAAACTGTATTTAATACTGTATTAGAAATGAAGTGCGAAAGATAAAAAATAGTTTTGGATTTACCCCCTAATGTGATAAATAAAAAAAAAAACTGAGATTGTAAATGCCTAAATGGTAGTTGGACTAAAGACTAGCTTGTACAAAATTTACGAGTTGGGGAAATCCGCTGGATTTAAATCAAAAAGTCTAGTGTCGAATCATCAAAACCCAATTCCGAACATTTTACCACGGCGGACGTGGTTCCTTAATGGAATAGTAGTACCATCCACAATTTTCGTGATTTCAGGGGATTGTAAAAGAAGAAACTCCATCGAATTACTGTTAAAAGATAAAATGAAAAAGTGAACTATTTTCTTTAACCCCACTAATTAATCCATATTAATGTAAATTGCAAAATTTAGTTTACAAAAAACATACGTACTGTACTTCATAATTTGTAATACGAACTGTTTTTATGGAATATGGGTAAAATTTACAAAATTGATTAAAAATAAATAAATGAATATTCATTTGGCAAAGACAATTAAATTTCCTTTTTATTTTCAAGAAATAAATGTAGTCACTATATTGGGCTTAAGCCTTAAAAGATACATATTTGGGTCGACTACATTAAATATAGGCCCATCAGTAAGTCACCCATGTGAATGTGAATGTAGGAGTATTTCTAAGTACCACTATTAAAACCAACGTTAACCGTAGAGAAATTATCAACATGCTGCTCTTGGGATCAAAATGATAGCTGAATGTGAGTGGACGTTTTTAAGTCGACTCATACTGTTGGAATCTGAGATTGCATTGAAGCTTCGTAGATTAGGGTCATTAGGCTATATATTCTGCGATGAAAGCGTTTGTGCACGGATAAACTAGAACTAGATTTCATTTAATACATATTTTTAATTGACAGAAAAACGTTAAAAATATATTTTCACATTCGTTGTGTTCTCTTGATGGTTATGATATATTTTTAAGATTTTTTTATCGATTAAAATTGTGTACTAGGTTAAACCTATGACAAATCAAAATGCCTTATATTAAGAACCGGAGGGAATAGTATTTTTCGGACTCATTAGTTTTAATAAATTACCATGAAAGGATCAATTCGGTGATACTATAATTTCTTAAATAAGTTGATCGTACTAAAACATAATACGTGATATATAGATTGCTTCTAAGAAACTAAACCAGAGTTCTAATTAATTTAAGAACCGAATTTAATTTTGCATATGTAAATCTTTATGTGTTACAGCACACCATATTAACTTACTAACAAATATATCAAGGGTTAAATTCAGATTATCGATGCATAGCATCATGAGCAATCAACCTTATAATTTCCTTTCCGCAGATTGACTGCTCATGATGTTATCTCATCTTTGTATAATATGAATTTAAGCTTGGCTTTGGCCATTGATCGTTGATCAGGGAACCGAACCGGCCGGCCGGCCATCTTGTGCAGCTGTCCTCAGTCCACCAAATGATCTTTTGCCCGGCCGGCAATTCGTTCATCGGAAGCCGCTGCCGCCAAGTGCCGGAGCCCAATAATCAGCTCCATTGTCACTCCCAACTTGCAGGGTGCAAGATATAGGAACCAAACACAACCCTCTACTCCTCAAGTCCTTCTTTGGCTCCTCTTCACCCTCCTATTGTTGCAGGAACAAAAAATCAGTTAAGAGTGACATAAAACAACGTAATAATCTCTTATTACAAATATGTGATTCTGTGTTACAACGACATTACATTTTTATAATTATTCACTATTTCTATTATCACTCTCGTTTAATATATACCTGATCAGACATTGGTTTCCTCTTCATGCAGTTCTCATTCAACAGCTGCATGAATATTAGAACACGAGTAATTATTCCACTTTTTGTAATCTTCATAATTAATTATTTACTAAATCTTTGAAGGCATCTTTTTATGGATAAAAAAAAAACTTTTAAAATAGAGTAGCAGTGAATAATTTGTAGCTTTTCCAGAACAAGAAAGCTTTCTCTGGACAAAGCCTTACAAGTTATAAAGATCCAATAAAAGCTTACCTGCCCAGGGTCTTCTGGGAATAAACAATTCCTCTCACCTCCTTGAACCTGAAAAGGAAAAGAAAAAAACACAATCATTAATCAAATAATGTATAATTATTACATCTAACATCTTCAAACACACCTTACTTATTCACATGTTCCTTCGTACATTTCATACCAGTTCTCCCACATGCAAATTCCAGACTTAATTCAGAAACAAAAAAAAAAAAAGGGTTCTTTTTATTTTAATTTTTTTTTCATTTCAGATAGTGAAGAAAGAAAAGAGAAAAGAGAAAAGAAAAAAAGACCAGTTATTTCTTACATGGTGTTGCTGCTGCTGCCTCATGTTTCCAGATTTACTGTTGCCCAAGTAGGGTAAACTGAGGGCCTGCAAATATCATTCAAAATGGGGAAAGAATCAATTACAAAGAACATGGCTTTTTATGAGGAATCAGAAGCTAAAACAATGCTAAAGTGGTGCAAGAAACATGAAAGGAGTAAATGATAGTGAAGTATCAGCAGTATCACAATAAGTTTGAGGGGAAGTTGCATGGTAGTTTGTGAAAATGTAAAAGCAGTAGTAAGAAAGTAGAAACATCACCTCAATTTGACTCTGAAGGAATCTAATGTATCCAATAGCTTCTAACAAGACAGATGCTGTGTCAGTCTGCCAGAAACAAAAGCAAGAAAATGGAATGAGGAAAGTAAAAGCTTTAGCCCCCCCCCAATCTAGAGAGAGCTATAGCTAGCTATATATTAAGGATTTTTCTCTATTTTGTGTCTTTCTTTAATGCTTAATAAAAGAAAAAGACTGCTACTTGAAATAAATAATCAAAAGCCCCCTCCCTATATTTTTCATTTGTGAAGAAAAGGAAAAGTGGAAAGAGAAATGTCACCTTTAATTCAAGATAGTACTGTTACTTCCATTTTATGTTACTGGTACTAAGTATGTAGAACCATAGTTTTGATTAAATCACTCTATTTGCCTTTTAACTATTTTGAGACGGAAGGAGTACCAGATATATAAATGTAATTAAGTGCATAGTATCAACAACTTTAATCTCAGGTGATTTGATTAAATTATTAGCTGCTTGGAAAATTACCTTCCCAAAAGGGGAAACTATTTGATGGAGGGCTGTTATTCTGTCACCCAGCTTTTCTTTCCTCACCTGCATTTCAAACCCCAAAGAACAAAATCAACAGGAAATTCAGTTAATTTATCACTACCTAATTGGAATTATTATTCTCATTCAAAATATTCTATGATTCTATACATCCTTTTTTTTTGTGATCTAGCTTCTTCTTTTGTGTGGATGTGATTGGTTATAAAAGATAAGAAAAAGAATAAAAATACCCAAAAGAAATGGACAATCAGTAAAGACAACAATTTTAGTCCAAAGTTAAGTAGAGATGGAGATAGTTTAGCTGAAGTGAAAAAAATAAATAAATTAAAATTATAGGAGAGAACAGGAGAAGCCAGTAAACTTTGTCACAAGATTCTTTCATATTATTATTCAACTGTAACAAATTATTAAACTAGTACTAAATAATTAAACTTACCTTAAATGTAGATTGAGTTGAAGATGTTTGAACCCTAGCCTTCTTAGCTGCACCACCACCTGTGCTGTTACACTGCAGATTAACCAAAAAAAAAAAAAAAATTACAAAAAATAAAAATAAAAATGAAAATAAAAATGACAATATCAATTAAGAGAAAAAAAAATTACCTCAGAAGAACGATCTGGAGGAGGATGCCTTCCATCTGATTTATTATGATTATTAGTAGAAGAAGAAAAATCCAACATATTGTTGGTGCTGCTTAAAGTGGTGACGCATGAAGTTGGAGATGAAACTGGAATCACTTGAGTTGACCAATTAGTAGTAGTACTAGGTCTGCTGCTAAACAAGCTGTAAGCAGTTTCTACGGAGTTTTCATCATTCTTGAAGTGATCTGAAACCGACCCGTTTGAAGCCTGCTGATTCTGCAATAGTATTTGTTCTTCCCAATTCATCTCTAGCTTCTTATTAGCCTGCTGTAGCTGCTGCATACTTGAACTAATTTTTCCTTCTTCATTCATTAATCCACCCCTATAAAATAAAATAAAAAATTTAAGTAAAATTCCATGATTAATGATCTTTTGTGTGCATTATATTCTTGTATGCTCCATATTTTTCCGGTATGCGGATTAAAAGAAAAATAGTTCACTTTGTCGAACTGTGTAGATAAACATGAAAGAAATAATATCATAGAAGTTAAAGGCTGTATTTAGGAAAATATGAAATTTCTTCAGACAAAACGTAACAAAACCCAAAAAAAAAAGAAAAAAAAGAGTAGCTTCCATATCTAACTATTTGTAATACAAAAGAACAAGAAACTGTAGAAAGGAGACATGAGAGAGAGATTTTTTTACATGAGAAGTTGACTCCAAGATTCAGGCAGCTGCTGGTTATTATGGTGATCATCATCATCATCATCACCCCATGAAGAGGAAGATGTAGGTATGAACTGAGAGTTAGGGATTAGTAGATTAGGTGGAGCAGCAGATCCCAGAAAAGATGATGATGATGATGAAGAAGAAGAATTAGAAAAAACTTGTTGTTGATGAGATACTGATGGAGGAGGCCTCATATTACTCCACCAGTTTGGACTACTTCCGGCCGTCATCATTTGTTGAACCGGCGAGCTCTGTAGAATATGCCCTCTATTCATGGATGATCCCTTAACTAACAAGAAAAATTTCAAGAGAGTAATTTTCTTCCTGGAATTCTCACTATTTTTTGATGTCTAGTTTTATACAACTAGCTAGTTATATGTGTTTTCTCCCTCTCTTCTGCTTTCTCTCATTCACTTTACTTTGTTGAAGAAGACTTAAGGAACTAAGGAAGTTCTTCTTTCTTCTCCTGTGGAAAAGAACATAAAAAAATTAACAAACAAAAGAAGGGAAAGAAATCAAAGCTTTGTTGAAAGAAGACCTTTAAGAGGGTCTTCCTAGGCTTTGATTATGTATGTGTAAAGAGAAGGAAGAAGCTCTCTAACTAAGCTAAGCAAAAGCAAAAAAAAAAAAACAAAAAAAGGGAAAAACTTTCACAAAGTCTATGATGGTGAGAGAAGTTTTATTTTTTTTTTGAAATCATGGGGGTGAACCTTTTTTGTCTTTGTTCTATTCAATCCATCTCTCTCTCTCTCTATCTCATACACCTCCTTTCTTTCTTTCTTTACTAGCTACTTGCTTTCTCTTACTTTCTTTATTGTTTTCCTTTTCTCTCATTACTTTTCTCTTAGCTTTTGCTTTTTCACCAAAGTGGGTAGAAAAAAGAAGGTAGCAATTCTCACCAAGTAAAAAGCTTGTAATGGCAATAAATTTGGATCCTTGCTACTACTATTGATCTCTCACTATTGCATAGTTATATCGAAATTTGAGTTATGATATTTAACGATAAACCTTACAAAGTTAGTGACATTGTTCAGTAACTGATACGATACACGTAACATCTAAATACCTTTCGTTATGTTTTACTTCTGAGATAGGGAAATAAGTTATTTAATCTCTTTTTACATGTATTACAATACTTCACAAACTATTTTGATAAGATGGATCCAGTGTCTCTATCATTGCACTACGCGGTTAGTTTCTTCATCTCATCAATCAATAATGTCTAAACCGTATATCCCTTTCATTCTATACTTGTACTTTGTTTTCTTTGGATAAATCTCAGTCTCTCCTTTTGATTGGTAACTTAAATATTCAATGGCTTCTTCTTCCCGGTTGATGACTCCAACCGTCACATTAAAAATATTACAGTTTTCTGAAAAGTAACTATCCTGTAGTATATAAATGTGGGAGACGTAATTAAGATAGTTAAGGTTGTAAATTCTTGAATATAATTTGACATTAAATTAGGTTAATCCCATCCAACAAAAACAGTGGTAATCAAACTACATTTTAGAGAGCCCTGGCTAGGACAGAAAATAAGATTGACTAAACTTTCCGTATATGTTATTCATTAATAGAAGTTTAACTACCAATGTATACGTAGAGATCAGTAACAGTACGTAGTTTTTCCAGTCGAAACTAATCAGTGTGGCTTTTCCAAAATTGCTAAGTAGGAAAAAGAAGTAGACGTAATTTTGTCGATCGCGACAAATCATAAGAAAGAAATTTAATATGGAGACGCTATCGTTTATGTTTAAGAACTTTGGGGTCACAATAATACAGTCCAATTTAGGAAAAAAGAGAAGGAGGGTATCCAGGGAAAAAAAAAATTATTAAATACATCGATAAGTATGGTACGTTAACATGAGGTTAGATTATATTGCCAAAAATTTAACGTTTTTGAACCTGCAGAATCTAAGCTACTCAAGCTACTATCTCACTATATTTGTTCGCTGCTGTTTGAATTTACATATATATTTATTTAATTACTACAGGATTAATAATTATTGTACCATGCGGTTTACTCGTAGTACCATGGCTATAGTTGGAAGTTTGCATTTATACTAATCCAAATTATTGATTATTGTTTTTCTTAATTTATGTTTCTTAAGAGTAACTAAAAGTTTTCAGCACCATTCAGTAGTGTTCTGATGGAAAAAAAAAAAAAAAAAGAGAATAGTCTACAAATGTTGAATAGTCTAATAAAAAAAAAAACTAATGTTAACAAAAGCATATTCGAGATCGTTAAATTAAAGTGATGTACAAATACATATTATACTCATATAGCAAGGACAAACTTTTTTTATTTTTATTATTTTTTTTAAGGTGTATTTCCCGTAAAAATTATATTCTCTCTCCATCTCATAATTATTGTCCAGTTTGAGTTTTCATTTCTAGTTCAAATTGTATTAAAAATGAAATCTCAAACTGGACAATAATTTTGGGACAAAGGGAGTATAATATTGGGATCAAGTCATTTTTCACTTCCTCAAACATCACATAATCTGTTACAGAATTTGCTCCGCTCTAATTTTTTTCAAAATCGAGTCTCGCCCTCCTCAAACTCAAGAATACTTGCTGTTAATAAGAATGATTTTTAATTATGCTAATTATGTAATCGACAACCGACGGTGAAAATGATGAAGATCGATGATGTAACTGTCGGTATTAGTTCAAAGTTTTTTGTTAGCTTTATTAATAACATTAAAAAAATCACATTATTACATGTGCGAATGATGAATGACGATCGATTGTGAAATATATGTAGTGAAGGATACGGTTTGCGCAATCATGTGTATGATCATCTTTGGACTTATTGATTTGTAAGTTTCCTGGGCAACAGCAGCTTATATTTATTACCTGATACAAAAAGCAAACCGTTAATTAAGGTAAACTATTAAAAGAGTAGGCGATCACAAACAAAAGTATACAAATCATCCCAACTGGTGAGTTGTTATACTGTGCACATTAATTGTATCTATCTAAGTACATTTAGACTTTTTTTATTATTTAATAACGGAGGAACTTCATGTATAATTATTTAACATGCTTTCTTTTTTATTTTCAATGCACGTGTCCCTTTCACTTTAATTTAGTAAGTGGGTTTTAAAAATTTCTTTTATCTTCAAATGATTTTATTTCTTAATCCGTAATGAACTAAACCAAGTATCTTATATCATTTTGATAGTACTCGATGAGATCTATTCAACAAGATCCATTATGTTTTCAAAACTTTAAAAATTTATGCAGTTGCCTTAGTCTTCCTAAAGGATACTATGGTCTTACTTGTATCTTTTAGGACTAAGACCTAGAGCAAACACCAAAGACCAAAGGTCAAAGTGAAAGCGCGAGCATGTGTGAGGACCAAAGACCAAACACCAAAAACCAAAAAATCAAAGACCAAAGACCAGAGTGAAGAGCGAGCGTATGTGAAAAACAAAGACCAAATACAAAAAATTGAGAGATTAAAGACCAAAGACCAAAATAAATAGCTAGTGTGTATGACGAACAAAGACCAAAGACCAATGACCAAAAGACCAAATTAGGCCCTAACCAACACGAAAATGCTTAAACCCCCCTAAACCTAAACAACTAGACTCTAATCGACTTGGAAATGCTTTAACCTACTAATATATTTTTTTTTGGTTTAAACTTTTTTAAAACCAATTAGGCTAGGTTCATGTGAGTCTAGTCTGATTGGTTTAAAAAAATTTCGTAAGGTTAATCGTGTTACGGCACAAATTAGGCCCTAACCGATACGAAAATAATTAAACTCCTTAAACCCTAAACCCTAAACAACTAGTCCCTAACCGACACGAAAATGCTTAAACATCTCTGAACCTTAAACCCTAAATAACTAGACTCTAACTGACACGGAAATGGTTAAACCCTCTAAACCCTAAACACACTAATTTTTTTTTGTTTAAATTTTTTAAACTAATTAGGCTAAGTCTCGTTTACGATACCCTATCCAAATTAGTTTAATAAAATTTATAAGATTAATCGTGTTACGATACAAACTAGGCTCTAATCGACATGAAAATGCTTAAACTCTCTAAACCCTAAAACCTAAACAACTAGACCCTAACCGACACGGAAATGGTTAAACCCCCTAAACTCTAAACACACTAATTTTATTTGTTTAGTTTAAAAAAATTTATAGGTTAATCATGTTACAGCATAAACTGGGCCCTAACCGATAAGAAAATGCTTAAACCCCCACAAACTCTAAATCCTAAACAACTAGACCGCAACCGACAAGGAAATGCTTAAACCCTCCTAAAACTTAAATCCTAAATAACTAGACCGTAACTGACAAGGACTAAATCCTAAATAACTAGACCGTAACCGAAAAGGAAATGCTTAAACCCCCCTAAACCCTAAGCACACTAATATCATTTCGATTTTTTATCTTTTGCCTTTGGTCTTTACTCCTCACACATGCTCGCTTTTAATTCTGGTCTTTAGTCTTTGCTCTTTGGTCTTTAGTTTTTGTAAATTTTTTTTGATCTCTGGTCTTTGGATTTCGGTCTTTGGTCTTTGGTCTTTGGTCTTTGGTCTTTGGTCATTGACCTTTGGTCTTTGGTCTTTGGTATTTGTTCGTTGACCTTCGGTCTTTGGTGTTTGCTCTTTGGTTTTTGGTGTTTGGTCTTGCTCCTCACACAACGCTCGCTCTTTCACTCTGGTATTTGGTCTTCGATTTCTTGGTCTTTGGTCTTTTGTCGTTGTTCCTCACACATGCTCACTTTTTACTTTGGTCTTTGTTCTTTGCTCTTTGGTATTCAGTTTTTTGTTTTTGGCCTTTGGCTTTTAGTCTTTTCTGTAGGTCGTGGTCGTAAAAGAAACAAGTAAGACCATAATGTCTTTCTAGAAGACCAAGGCAACTGAATAAATTTTTTTAAGTTTCGAAAATCATATTCGTGATGGATCTTGTTGGATAGATCTCATCGAGCACTATCAAAATGATATAAGATACTTGATCTAGTTCATTATGGATTAAGAAATAAAATAACTTGAAGATAAAAGAAATTTTTAAAACCCACTTCCTAAAAATAAGGAAGAGTGGTGCGCGTGTTTCACCTAACTCATAAAGATTTGCATATTTAACCCTCTTTTCATATATTAATTGTCAAATAAGGGTCTATGTGTACCTAACTATTAACTATTAAGTGCATGGTTTTTGCCAATTGGTCATATTTAGTATCACTTTTCAATTGTGGCCATAATATATAACCTTTTCTTTTAGATCCTTTTGGTACCACAAAATAGAAAACTTTAACCTCATAATTTTTTTATATCCAAAACTCAATAAAAATATGTGATTTAATTTTTTTTTTCATTACGAAAAAAGTAGAAAAATGTCTAAATCAGTATAAAACTTATCATTTGGGTAAAACTATTCCAAAAATCTCATGTATTGTACGAATATGAGAATGCTAATAAGGCAGCTCATCTGCTTGAGAGTCGCCTCTTGATTTAGCTTCTTTCACTGCTAAAATGCATGATGCATCCCCAATTTTCTTAAACTCTATTTATTTTTTTATTTTTATTTTTTTGGTTGGTTTGAAGTCTTTGCCTTTAGTAAATTTATTAAACCATTTATCGTTACCAACTCTACTCTAAAAATACTGCTCTTGGAATGCCCAAAGGGTTAACGAGTAACAACCTCATTCAACAAAAACCATACAATCCAGACAGCAAAGTACAAAGAAGGATTAAACAAACAATAGAATCATTCTCTTAAGGAATTTTGTAACATTCCCGATTACATCTCCCAAGAACAACATTATTTAAAGCAACAAAACAAACAAACAAAAAAACCCTTAAATCTAGAGGGGAGGATGGACTAAAGAAATTGGTAGT